TGTGAGGTCGCCGGAGCAGTGAGATAGAGTCGCCGGAAATTTCGCCGGAAAATCTTCAAAACCTCCCCTACACTTCGAGGTAAGCCCCTAGATATATCTAATGACTAGAATATTCATATAGGTCGTTTCTACGTTCATAAATGGTCATTTGGTTGAGTTTTGTGTTTGACATGTTTGAAGAACCAAGAATCATAAACCTTGAATTAGATGTTAAAAATATGTTTTAATAATTCTAAAATGATCTATGAGCCTTGGAGAACATCTCTATATAGTTTAATTGAAGTTCGGTGACTAAAAATGGTTTTCCCGAAAAATGGACCGAGGTTGAAGACGAATGAACAGTGGCTGAAAATCCACAGAGTGGATCGATCCTCTTCATTGGATCGATCATTTGGGAGTTTTTCTTCTAGTTTGATCGATCCAGAGGGATGGATCGATCCTCCGAAAACTCTGGTCCGAAAATTTGTCTGAAATTGCTATTTTTGAGTTCTAAAATCCTATTTTCGATACCAATTGATTATGACTATTATAAAAATGATTTTTCACAATAAAAATGATGTTTTTATCAAATTAAAACATTATGTGATGCATGACGGTAAGTCCGGGTGTTAACACTCGAGACTAGGCCGCTATTTGTTATTAAATGTGTGTTAATGATCTTTATGATGAGTAATTATTATGGATGATTATGAATGATAAACCTACTGATTAGGAAATTATTATTAGTGACTAAATCATTATTTAAATTGAATATAATGATGATCACGAAATTGGTGTGTTGTTAAGGCTATCTCGAAGACTTCTAAGATAGACCTCAAATTAGTTTAGGCCTTGCGGGTATAAATATGTATATTCGGTGGCCTTGGGTAAAAACGTACGTACGGGATCCATAAACCAAACTAGAGGAACTCGTTTGGGGATACCACCCAACCNATCATCAAAGGTTTGGCCTTAGACTAAGCTTAGTTAAGGATATTGTTGAGTATTGAATGTTGAATATTGAAAAATTGAAAATATCATGAATGAATTATATATTGTGTGCATGATATCAAATGGTTGTTTGTGAATTGAGATTCAATTTATGTGGATGTTCGACGCTTTAGATATGCTTACTCAGCTTCATCGCTGAGCGTGTAGTATGTTTTATTTGCTACACGCAGGTAGACTGAATGAATAATTGGCTTGTTCCTAGCAGCAGAAGGGGCGAGATTGTCGTGTTGGAATTTGTGATTTTAAAATAAATAATTGTGTTGTTATTAAACATGGTTTAATTTGCTTCCCCATTATTGTTAAACACTCTGCATTTTGCTACAATTATGAATTAAATAATATTTATGATGAATAAAAGTATTTGAAATGTTTTAAATTTTATGATTACCAAGTTAATACTTTAGTCTGAAAGGGGTTGCAGACCTGGACGGATTAGGGTGTTACAGTTATGATAGAAAAGTAGAGAACTGCTCACAAGAAAAAAAAGAAACTTTACGCTCTCACTTTAATGGTCAACTCTCTCCCCGGAAAAGAACTAAGCAAATATATTCTCAAGCTTATTCGTCATGCAACGAAGATCTATCTCTCTACTTTTATCGCCTATCTCGAAACTACTTTCTCCGACTCCTTCTAATACATGTGCTCCAAGATGCTCCTCGTTACTGTGATCAGGTTGAGGTGAGATAATTGGAATAGTAGTGATGATAGGAAATATAATATTATTTATTTATTTTCTTATTCTATTGTTACCATAATTACTTATTTACTCAAATTGGGATTTTCTATGTATTTCCAATATATAGAGATGAACCTTCATTAGTCAATAACACCAATTATTATCAAATTGTACTCTTTCTTCCCAAAAAGAATGTCACAGTCACTCTTTCGACCTCTCGATAAATTTTGTTTGTTTACTCATTTTGGTTGACCATTTGATAAAATAAAATATTATTGTCGCATCTTGTTTTGTAAAACTTTTTATGCACTCTTGAACGGTGTAATTTTTACTTTTTATTTCTCTACCAATTTGTAAATAAAATAATTTTAAAAGAAATGATTAGGGGTGTAAACGAATATTAATCGGATCGGATGTATCATTACCAAATCCGTATCCGTTTATTTTTGTTGGGTATCAAATTCGGATGCGGATGTTGACGGATATTGAAAATCAAAATCGTATCCGCATCCGCATCCGTCGGATATTCGTCGGATATCGGATATATCCGTATCCGTTTCCAATTTTTAAAATCATATTAAATAATACTTTAAATTTAAATTACATTAAAGTCAAACTATTATTAAATCAATTATAATTTGTTATGGGATAATTATTTTCTTTGTTTTCATGATTTATGATATTCTAATGCAAGATTGAGTTGATCACAAAGTTGCCTTTCTTCTTCTAATGTGAATGAGGATGACGGCAGACCCTTGAAGAAGCCTTCAACTTTTCCCATTTCATCTTCTTCTTCTTGGAAGAGTTGACTGAAAAGTTTCATCTATACTTTATTTAAAAAGAGGTGAATTTTTTCCCGCCCATACACGAGACTCATATATAGAAAATGTTGACAACACAAATGGTAGTTTAATTATTTTGCCTTAATAAATTCCTTCCATTTTAAGTATGTTTTCATTTTTATTTAAATGTTACACCATTTAAGTATTTAAATTAAATTAAATAAATTAAATAGTAGTGAACCACTAGGAATTTATAGTATGGAAATAAAATACAGTAGTATTTAAATATGAAAATAAAATTAAAACTACAAATTAATAAAGTATGGGCGGGATTAGAATGATTTATTTTAAAAAAACTACGTACAAATTAATTAGTTATTTCAAAAAAATATTATAATTTACAAGCACGAACGTGTGAAAATGGTAAGTTTTCTAAAATAAATTAGAAAATAAATATGGTACGGTAAATAAATGGTAACATTTATGTACAAAAAAAATAAAAAACTACAAATTAATATTAATACTATAATTTACAAGCATGGAAACGTTTTAAAAATGATAAGTGTTCTAATTAGAAAATAAGAAAATAAATATGGTATGGTACGGTAAGCAAATGGCACCATTTAAAAATGAAAACAAAAAAATGATAAGTGTTCTAAAATAAATTAGGTAAGTGTTCTAAAATAAAAGAGAAAGTAAAAATACATCTAAAAATGATAAGTGTTCTAAAATAAATTAGAAAATAAATGTGGTTCGGTAAGTAATTAGTACCATTTAAATATGAAAAATAAAATAAAAAAATTACAAAATTAATATTAATACTATAATTTACAAACATGAAAATGTTTTAAAAAGGTAAGTGTTCTAATTAGAAAATTAGTTAATAAATACGATACGGTACATCAGCACGGTAAGCAAATGGTACCATTTTAATACAAAAATGAAATAAAGATGGAGTCTCTTAGCAGGAACTCGAGAGGGGAACTTGTTCCATTGCCACAAGGGAGAAAGATACTCACTTGCAAGTAGGTTTTCAAAAGAAAGGAAGGCATTACCACAGTGGAAAGTATCAAGTACAATGTAAGATTGGTTGCAAGAAGTTTCAATCAGAAGAGGGAGTTGGCTACAACGAGATATTCTCATCGGTGGTTAGACACACTTCGATCAGAGTGCTACTTAAATTGTTCCATACCAAGACATGGAGCTTAATCAACTTGAAGTGAAAACAACTTTCTTACATGGAGAGTTGGAAGAAGAGATATACATGAGCAACTTGTAAGGTTTCCAAATTCTTAGAAAAGAAGATCATGTGTGCAAGTTCAAGAGGTCCTTATACGGAATAAAACAAACCCCAAGGCAGTGGTACAAGAGCTTTGATAGCTTTATACTGAAATTAACTAGGAGATCAGAAGTGTGATAATGATTGTTGCATTTATCGCGAGAAGCTACATGGTGGATCATGCATTTACCTAAGATTGTATGTGGATAATATTCTGATTGCAACCCAAAGTATCAAGCACATTAGAGAATATAATTGACGAGGTCTCTCAGTATGGAATTCGAGATGAAGGATTTTGGGGGCTGCTCAAAAAATCCTAGGAATTGAAATATATAGAGATAGAAAGAAGAGAAAGCTCTTCTTGTCACAAGATGGTCACATCAAGAAGATTTTTCACAAATTTATGATGCAAACCGGCAAGCCTATAGATACTCCTATGGCGGCTAATAGCAAGCTAAAACTGTACGCCATTCAGACCAAGGAAGAGAATGGGTACATTTCCAAGATTTCATATGCTAGCGCAGTTAAAAGCCTCATGTATGTTATGGTTTGGACTCGACCAGACATAGCGGATACTTAGGCACCTTAAAGGTATGTTAGACATTGGCTTATGCAATGGGACTTATGAAGAGATCTTGGTTGCTCAGATTTAGACTATGCAAGTGATGTTGATAGTACGAGATTAGTGAAATACGTGTTCATTCTGAGAAGTTCTGTTGTGAGCTAAAGGCAATGATACATCCGGCAGTGACTTTGTCAACTACGAAAGCAGAGCTAATAGCATTAACATCACTAGCAAATGAGAGAATATGGTCTAAGAATATAGTCAATGAAAGCATAAGCAATAGTTTACTTTGATAACTTGAGTGTGATTTGGTTAGCTAAAGATCAAGTCTACTATGAGCGGACAAAGCACATCCACATCAGGTATCATTTCTTAAGAAATGAGAGTAGAATTAAGGTGAAGAAGACACTGCAAATATGTTCACGAAGCCAGTTCGAGAAAGCTCATTCAAGCATTGCTTGAATTTTCTCAATGTTATGAACTATTATGCCCATTGGGGTTGTCGAATCTGATGGGGTCTAGTGAATATCTATGATGAGAGACATTAGGTGCAAAGATCAGCTTTTTTACAAGAAGAGAAGAAATTATTTCAGACTATAGAGTTCAAGTCAAGGTAGAGATTTGTTAGCCAAAGTGACTTGCAACAACAACAACAACCCAGTTAAATCCCACAAAAGTAGGGTCTGGGGAGGGTGTGTGTACGCAGACCTTGCCCCTACTCGAAAGTAGAGTGGCTGTTTCCAAAGAGACCCCCGGCTCAACGTCGAAAGTTGCATTGCTTAACTAACTGCTACTTCATTAATTAAAGAAGCACAGACAGTTTAGAGATCCATTTTGATTTATTCCATCACATCCCAAAGCCAAAAATGGTGAAATTTTGGCTCCATCCGAGATGATGGAAAGTGTTAGCCAAAGTGACTTGAATTTAAAGTTAATGTCGGCTAGGCTAGAAAACATGTAAAAGCAACCAAAATATGTTTCCTAGTTGTATTGGGAAACATGTGATAGTGCGTCTATATTAGTAGTATAAAGATGACTTCTATGAGGTCAATATTTTGATGCACAACTACTTGAATTTGTTGTCTCTTGGGAAACAAAGGCCATTCTGTGCTAAAACTTGTGTGTCTGATATTTCTAGTATCATTGTGGAGTTGAGCGTTCATAACATTAACATATTTGGGAGTAGATTTTTTCAAATCTTCTATACATCTATGACAAACCAATATACAATTCTTTAAAATGTATGTGTGTGTGTGTGTGTATGTATGTATTATTTACAAAAAACACTGCAACTATTTGAGTATTGTTATGTACAAAAAGGCTACGAAGAATTAAAGCAAGGAAGGAAGAAGCCAAAGATTGGAAAGGGATGATGCCATGGAAAGAAACCATGTGAAGAAGGCCATAGCAGCTGATATTTGATATCTACTACAGAGCTTTGAAGGGCAAAATGTTCCCTCAGCTCTTAATAGGAGGTCAACAACGGCGGTTGTTGAGGTGGCTGCGCCTAGTGTGAGGAGCGACAATGCCTGTTTAAAATCAAAACTAATCAATGGTAATTGTCAAAAATTAATTAATGGAGGCAAGGCAGAAATTAGATACCCAATCTCCTAAAACAATCATTAAGAGTATTCCTGGCTGTCAAACCGAGCATTTTAGGCACACAGAATACCCATCAACCAGTGCCAAAGTAACACTCCAAGGAATGACCAAACCCATGGTTGTCACTAAGAAGCTGCAAATTTAAAAAAATTAAATTTAACAAGATAGTCTAAATATGAATGAACCCATAAACATGTAGAAGTTAATTGCCAACTTTAAATCATGTTCACATAAAGATCGACTTAGATAGAGCCACATATCATATAGGGTTAGTGTTTGTTCTCTTCATCTTACTTTAATACTTATTCTTATTCTTAATGTAATCAGATTAAATTAGAAGTAGTTTTAAGAATAATTACAAGATCAGATCAAATCAAAACTTAATAAAATCATATCAAATCTAAGACGAAGAGAACAAGTGTTGAGCACTTGTTACGTGCTAACAAATCAAACCTAGATATCACTTTCTTAATGGAAACAATAAAACAATAAAACTCTTAGACCTTTTTACTTAGGCCAACACCTATGCAGCTCAAGGATTAAACCTAAATGAAACTAGCTACAAGGAATAACTACAACCTAACCAGCTAGGTTGTATAATAACTCTATGTTAAAGGCCAGTAAACGGAAACCATGGACTAGAGGTTTGAGCCTACTGTTTGGTAGTAGTTCTGCCCTTAGCTAATAAGCCCTCAGGATGATAGTTTACCCATGGAGATGACGGTTACGCTACCGATTTGGTCCTAACAAGCCACATAATCTCATAAACCATAACATTCGAGCCCAATCAACATACAACTTTCAGTTTGAAAAGGGATTTAACACATTTCACGCTTCAAAATAGAGTTAGATCATATATCTACACCCAAAACCAAGGAAAAACAGATTTACTCACTCATCGTGAGTGTAAATCTCTAAAAAAACCATATTGAAATAAAAATCATCATTTCATTTGAGTGTAAACTTGAGCTTCAAACAGAGATGATGAAATCAAGTTTTCTCAAACAAATTGAGTCACAAACCTTTCGGTGCACATACAGATCTACGATGCAGGGATGTGTAAACTCAAATCATTGAAACAGATTTAACAATCATGCATTAAAACTCAAAAAACAGTGACAAACAAATGACCGTACTCAAATATGAAGAGGGCATACTTCTATCGAGGTCTGGAGAAAGCCTCGATGGTGGTGAGATGGAGATCGAATGATAGCACTCGTCAAGCTCTCTCTGAAACTCACCTTAACACGCTCTCACTCGCCGGAGATCGTCGGCAATGACGCAGAAGGTCACCGGCGAAACCCTCGTGATACGGAAGGATAAATTAAAAATTAATATTATTTAGGGTATATTTGGTGAAGAAATCGGAAATGCGTTTTCCATATCTCTGATATGGAGTTTCTGAAATTAATGTTTGGTGAGTAACAAAAGGGTTTCAACTTTGATATCGAGAGAGATTGGAATTCTGGGTAAAAGCCGCTTTTTGATATCCCCGTCTAAGTGCCGATTTCAATTTCAAAGTGGAAGATTCACTTACATCCCTCTTCCAAGTCAATATTTTGACCCAATAGGTACAAGGGCTTGCAGAGGCCTCCAATCTCCACTGACGGTGTTGGAATTTCGGTCTCCGGAGGCGAAGGTGGAGGAGGAGGAGGCAACGACTCTCTCTTCACCCGCGACAAAGAAAGAGGCGCACGGCGTTTCTGTCTCCGTCGACGGTGAAAGAGGCGGCGGCGATTCTGTCTCCATCAATGGCGAAGGAGGAGGTAATGGCGGTTCTATCTCAGGTGACGACTGACAACCAGGTGACATCTCTATCTCTACCTGCGGTGAAGGAGGGTGTGGCGGTGTCTCTGTGTCCATCAACGATAAGGAAGGAGGTAGTGTTCTTGTTCCATCTGCGGTGAAGGAGGAAGCAACAGCTTTTTTTCATTACCAGCACCGGTTGTGACATTTTATGCGGTAGGGGAGGAGTGTATTCTGGTCGTAATGGTGGATAAAAGATATGAGTACCTTTTTATTTTTTATTTTGACTTCTTAATTGATTCGATCTATTTCTCTTTTCTCCAAATAATTTTCTTCTCGATTTCAAAATCCATATCATATCTTTATACGGATTATTTCAAAACTCATATCTTATCATATCTTCAAAACTCACCAAACAGACCCTTAGTTAATTTTACTCCCTCTGTCCCCAATTTGATTACAAATTGCGGGTTACGGAGTAAAGTTTCCTACTTTTTGAAACCATTTTATTTACAAATTGATATATCAATAAGATATAAAAATTACATATTAAAAAACTACATCAAAAGTTCTACAAAACAAGAGGTGACAAGAATATTTTATTTTATCAAATACTTGATGAAATCGCGTAAACAAACAAAAGTTATCGAGAGAAGAGAGAAAAAAAGATTGTAATTTATTTAGGGACGGAGGGAGTATATTTTAATAGTTTAATTAGATAGTTTAATTATTATTATTATTATTATTATATATTTACTTTTTATTTTTGGGTGAATTATAAAGCTCCTTTAAGGATTTTTTTTTTGTTCTTTATCGTGATACTTTTATTGAACCGACATGACTAGATTCTAATATTTTAGCTATAAATACCCATGTATCTAGTTATTGAGATATTACTGAAAAATTAAGAAATTACTTCTCTTAAACCCTAGTCCTCTCCTCATCTCAAATCTGGTTCTTCTTCCTCACCTTCTCAATTTTCTCTCTTTTATCTCCCAAATTCTTTCCTTCCCCTAATTTCTCAATCTCCCTTCCCTATTTGATAAGTTATTGTATCAACTGGGCGTTTCATCGTTGAACTCCAAAAAAAACACAATCACAGCAAAGAACATATCTATTGCTGCTTCACCAGTTGTCGTGGTGTTCATACGATCTGTTGCTTTTCACCGTGAAAAAATACCGCCGCCAAGTAACTCAAATTCGTAGTGATTGCTTTTTTTTCACCGCCGTCAAAGAGGGATTTCCACCAAGAAAACAGGGGAAAACAGACCAATAGCAAAAGAAGAAGAAGTCGTGCGGCAATTCTAGGATTACTGACAACATGCTCCACGATAATTTGCCTTGTTGGTAAGCTTAAATTTGGCCACTCATCTTGTCAATTGTTTCTCTAGGATTTTTTTTATAATTAAGTACTTTATCCACAACCACACCACTACTGTCTGCAACTCACCAACGAACTAGACACAATTGGATGAACTGGCTTCCGCCTTCATCGTATACGGAGAACTCCACAGTGGTTTCTGATTGCGCAAAAAGTAACCCCAGAATTAGAGTGGAGGTGCCCATGTTTAATGGCTCAGATCCACTCGGTTGGATTTCTACAGTCCAAAAGTACTTTGACTCCTTCCACACTTTCGAACCCGCTCGTTTACAATTAGTAGGCCTATTGATCGAAACCCTCGCATCGGATTGGTTACGTTCTTATCGGAGTAATAATTATGAAGCTATATGGATGGAATTTTTTATTACGGTAGAACAATGCTTGAATCTGGATCCCAGCAACGTCTCTCCCGCGACCCATGCCGTGGTAATACTTGCAATCCAAAATCTAACATTAGAGGTTCGGAACACGTTAATCTATATCAAAAGATTGATCAAACTTGCTCGATTTTGGAAGGTCACCCGATCCCTTGGTCGCATCCCTCAAAACTATTAGGGTCTGACCCTCATGTTCCTTGTTCGTCCTCCTCCCATGCCTTAGATGATGATCTCACTCCTAATCTAGATTTTCCAAGGTGGTTCTATAGCATTACAAGCATTGGTCACAATTGTAACGCCCTGGTGGGGTGTTACAACAATGCTTTGATTTCAAACATTGAACATCCAAAACCAAAGCGGTGAGATAAATGAAGAAGTCAAATCAGTTGCGATGAAGGAGGAAATTATTGTTGCACCTATAAGTGTTCCTGACGATGTTTCTATTATTGTTTCTGATGATTGTGATAAGGAATTCAAGGGAGACATCAGCATGACACACCCATTTCAGTTGCCCAACGATGCTTCTCCCCTAAGGGCCCTTCCATTGACTGTGTGTTTGTTAATGCTACTGTTAACACCCTGCTGCATCACATTGCTTGGGATAGTTTTTAAATTGCCAAAATATGGAGCTTGGGTAGAAGGCGGACATTTTCTTTTGATTGGTGTTGTGTCTCATGTTTTGAAGCTTGAATGGGGTCCCCCATCAGACACGACATGCCCAGAGTCATTGCACACCTTTTCTTTTGCACACTGTCTCTTTTTATACTTACACCTTGAGGACAAAGTGTGTCTCTATCAGGGTGGCAATGATAGATAAGGATAAATTAATAATTTATTTTATTTAGTTAATTATATATTTTAATAGTTTAATTAGAAAATTTATTATTTTATTTATATTTACTTTTTACTGTTAAGTGAATTATAATACTCCTTCAAGGATTTCTTTTTGGTTCTTTACTTTGATGCTTTTATTGAACCAAGAGGACTAGAATTATATTATGATTAGGGGTTTATCATTATTTGGGTTATTTTAATATTTTAGCTATAAATACCCATGTATCTGGTTATTGAGATATCAATGAAGAATTAAAAAATTACTTCTCTTAAACGCTAGTTCTCTCATCATCTCAAATCTTGTTCTTCTGCCTCACCTTCTCGATTTTCTCTCTTCTTCTCCCAAATTGTTCATCTCCTTCCCCCAATTTCATAATCTCCCTTCCCTATTTGATACGTTATTGTATCACCTAGCTTCTCTCTCTTTCTCTCTCTAGGTGTTCTGTGTGTTGAATCTCCGAAGGAATGAGACGAAAGGAGGCTGGATCTCGGTTATACGAAAATGAGACATGCCTGAGTGTAATTTTTGGGCTTTTGGGCCCCGTCTGAAAAATTAGGTCCAAATCTCAATCCAAATGATCCATTGTCCATCCAACTCATCCAGAATTCTACCCTATTGTAATTTTAATCTTTTAAAAGCTCAAAAACATTCATTTAATTAAGTGTAGAAAAATATTTAAAGTCTACAAACTGAGATTTGTCAATTTTCTTTATAAACAAGTATTTTATGTGTAAAAAATATTTAAAATCAGCTCTTTACACTGTAATAAAATCCAACCTTTTGAGTTTTAACAATAAGCTTTTAATTGTCAAATTTAAATCTTGTTTGTTAATATATGCTTTCACATGATGGATTTAGGTTCTCTGATATATCTCTTCGATATTAAGGTGACTCGTAGCTCGTTTGGGATTTTCTTGTGTAATTAAAAATACATTGTTGATATTCTTTATGAGATAGGTTTACTTGATTACGTTCATGACCTTTGGGTGTTCTTATAGAACATAATTAAAGTTTGACTCTATCTCAATGTCCATTTCTCACTAGGAGTATCGACATCTGGTACGACTTGTTAATTTATTCGCCATGCATCTTGAGCTCTTTTGTGTGGTCCGTTCTTGAAGAAACTATGTGATGATCATTGTATAATTGCTTTAGGCATGGATGGTAAGGTATGTAATATTATTGTCGTGTCCTCCTTCTTTCCTTAGAAAACAATTTGCAATAGACTAGTTGTTGTGTGGTTCAAGCATGTCATCTTGTTCTTTGACTAAAAAATCATTCACTGAATGGTTTGTGCCGCTTAGGGGTTTTCTTATATCCCAGAGGATGAGAAAACATACGACTGTAACATGGTCATCAGCATAGGCCGCATACAAACACTTAGAGGCCTTCACGTAGATGAAGGGACTTCTTTGATCATTAGGCATATTTAATAACTCTACTATATATGACTATTGATTATGATAATACCGATGCATTGCATATTGTTACTAATCTTATTTTACTTGGAGATCGGTTGTCATTTTTTATGTGATAAAGATAAAAATTAATCGAGGCATCATTTTACACAGTACCTGTCACAATAGCATCTCAGCTTGTAGCGAACCATTCTATTCTAGGATAATACAAAAAATCTCGTATGGAATTTCATATTCTGATGATGGACTTTTGCTGTTACATGCCCTAATTTGAGAGAAGATTCTTATGGAAATAGTAAGAAAATAGTATTTAGAGTATATTACTCCGTATGATATTATGTGTTATTCATTCGGTAGTCATAGTATATAATTATGTTTTCTTATACACTTTGTTTTCATATGGAGCTCTCGGCCTTGTCGGTTCCCATGCTATATTTTGTGATCCATATAATTTATCACTGGTCTACCCAGTATAAACCACCCAATTTCATTTTTCTTAAATCCTGTGTCAAGTCAATCGCAAAACTTTTTTACGTGACAGATTAACTATTTGATAAAATAAAATAATAATGTCACATCTTGTCTCCTAAAACTTTGATTTAATTTTTGAGATAAATTTATTTTTTTATTTATACTTAATTTCCAACTTTGATAAAATTACTTATTTAGTACTCGTATATTGTACTCCCTCCGTCCCGCTATATTTGTCCACTTTTGACTTTTAGAACTGTTCATCTAAGCACTTTGACTCATCAAATTCTCTCATTGTGTAAGCCTAAATATAATCATGTGTGATCTTGTTTGATTTGTCTTAACATATAGATTATTAATATATAATTTCTATAATTTTTTAATATACAAGTTACAAGATAAAATGGATTAAAGAAGTGTATTCGATGGTGTGTAAAAATGAAAGTGGACAAATACTCTGGGACGGAGGAAGTAGTTACTTTATAGCTAATTATTATCAGTTGGGCGTATCATTAGTTGGGCCATAAGATTACAACATTATATATATTATGACTCATGATCAATGGAAGGCTAGAGAAGTTATTTTCCAAGAGTTTTGAAAATCCTAAGTTTGTAGTTCTCGACGCAACCGACCATCGTTTGCCTCTCCATCCAGCAACTGATGTTAGCCATCTTATCTGGTAGTTAGCCGTCGCCCGTTTGTCGTCAAGTAACAGGTGGTTCTTTATCCGGCAAGTTCATCCAACCATCAGTGTTTCTTTCTGTCCAACAAACCCGTCCAGGCGCTTGTCGCTTTGTTGTGCAAAGCTCGTCCATGCTGCAATCCAAATTGGAGCTAATTGTAGCCATCCA